TATTGATTAAAAATATTATCAGTCAGCAGATAATAACATGACATTGCAGTCATCATAATTGGTTCTATAATAATTGTGAAACGTTTAGAGTCAATCAGGAATGTCTGGAGTTCACTACGTATACTCCACGTATGATGGAATGCGTTATAATTATTGGCTCTCATATTCTTTGCAAATTTTTACGTAGTGGCTAAAAACTATTACGAATACACATCAAAAAGATATGAATTATAGTAATCAATCATAATCAACTTGTTTCAAATATGTAAAAGATATTACAGCCGAATTGTTGCTACAATTACTTTTATTATATAATTACCTGTCTCACTACGGAATTCAGTCACTAAGTCCAGATTTCCCAACCGAAGTACAACAACAACTTTAACCAGTAAAAAACTTTTTTACAGAGTATATTCCAGAACAATTGCGATATTAGTCATAATGTGTTACACTAAAAAATATGATATTATTAGTGACAGTCGCAGACTCACTCCTTATTGTATGCATACGTAACAACAATTATACTTATATGGTTACGTGCAAAAACAATGAATCAATTTATTCAACTTGTGTTACGCGACTTTATTATTATGTCTTTATTACTCGTAAGTTGTTATCCTGATTACGAATCATTGCACAAAGTATCGATAGTATCGTTTGATAAGAACGTAGTCTTGATCGGTTCTGCTGTTTGTCGTAACAACGAATCATATAATGTGATAAATAATTCAAGAATTTATGTGTTAACGTGGAAAGTTGTAGATTTCGATAATACTAAGGGATACAATCACATTTCGCGTATTGAAAAATTAAGAATGTAATGAAGGTATCTACGAGAGCTTCAACCACATCAATAATATCGCCAACATGACTTTAATGTAACAAGCTGTGACTTCAGCGACGGACGACCTAGAAAAAGTATATTGCACCGTGGGGGATTTGTATAAGGGGCAAGTTACCATCGTAACCACCGCGTTTGCTTAGTGCAATCACCACATTTGCCTTATATACCAAGGCATCCGATCTGTTAATGAACATTATCATCGAAAAGTATCTCGGCGTAGTCTCAGCGGCATTCGTTGTGGGGATATTCTATCGCTCGAAACCGCTGGACAAAGTGATGTGAGTGATGTAAAAGAAAGAGAGGATCTATTACTATGCACCATTTATCGAAATGATAACGTTCATGTACAAAAATCCGAGTAGTCTACAGCTGATAATAATAACAACAGTATACTTATGTGAATAATATTGTTAGTAAACTGAGGGAATGATTATGGAAATTTGAAGAGAAGTCAATAACGGTCGTAATAATTTCTAACATTGCCAGCCCATGTCCTGGATACGTCTTCGGTAGTCCATTTTTCACCATTGCATGCGGTTTTACCAGACCATTTGATCGTCTTTACTCATGCCTCATTGCCTATCCAATTGCAGATATAGTAATATGGAAACTAGCTTGTGATATGGACGCATCCTGACAAACAGAAAGATAACAAATTTAGTTGTTATGTCACAAGGTGACATATTAAATTCGTATACAATCACCGGTAACATTGAAGCTGCAATCTCCATGATGAATACGGACTTTTTAGTGTGGGCCCAGTAATTACCGCCAATGAGCGCGGAAACAAAGACTGGGGTAAATCGCTATTTAAAAAAATTCAGTTAAGCGACGTCAGAACTATATTAATATATAATCTCAGTGAAAATCTTAAAAGCAAATAAATGACATCTGAGCAAACGTACCAATTTTTTCTTCTCTTCGATGGCACTTCTCAAAATCAGGAGTTTCGATTTTGTTAAGGGTCCAACGTGGTCTATTCCCACAATATCGACTGGTCCTGATACTGCTATCGGATTTAGTGGGGGTTTTTGTGCTCATCGTTGTTGGAAATATCGTATACTCTTCGTTGGAATCTACTCTGGCTGTTATATAGGAGCTGTAACAACTCGTTCACGTTCAGACTGCTGGTCTACAGACTGCCGGGTTGGCCGAGTGTCAAGTTCAATAACGTCGGCGTCATTAGTTGTAGACAGTTTATTGGGATTTGGGAGTTCTTTGAATGAATTACGGCCTTAAATCACGGATTATGCTTACTGATAATTTAACTGCAGGTTCCAATGCTTCGGATGTTAATCTAGTTGAGAGACAACAACGACAAGTTTGAATTACTCATGCGGGACTTGCCGTCTGATTTATACATGACAACTGGCCTCATGGACCGAATGACGCGACAAGACAAATATGGGTTAGCGTAGATATTATTTTCGGTTCGTGTTACGATATTTTTTGTCACAATTTAATAAATCTGCAAATATATAAAACACATGACATCAAACACTAGATTTACTCAGACAAAATATAATAACAATACTACCGATAATAATACAGGCAAGCTTTGCGATAACGATGACAACACTTGTAAGTCTCGGTATCTAATAGAAAAGCATAAGCGATATTAGATCGCAATTGTCATTATACTATCAGAGACACGTTGTGGAGTAAAAATATTATCGATCAGCAGATAATAACATTGCAATTATCATAATTGGTTCTATAATAAGAACAATGGTATCAGTGAAATGTTCAGTGTAAGGGGGTACCGACTAGTGGTGTGGGAATGGGACTACTGATATAATGAACCATACTAATTCTTTGCAATTGTCGTAAGCGGTTTCTATAAATAAGAACAAGACATTTCGGAGTAAAATTTTCAATCAGGTAACAATGCGGGAATTTAGGGCAAGGACTGATCCGCATCTGCGGATAAGCCACGATATATCTTAATACAGACTGATCTCTTAGCATGACGTAATACTGCTGATGAAACAAATTCTTTACAATAGCGATAATGACACTAATAAGTATTGCAAATACTTTGAGATGGAAAACTCGATCATATTGTACTGATGAATATCCTTTTGTTACTTAGACGAAAGTAAATCTACGCCTTCTGTATTTTCAGTACGTATAAGCCATACGCTTTATTGCTTAACTCTAAAAATAGTTAACTCAAAGTCTCTCCCACATTCCCACATTCCCACATTGTTACCTGATTGAAAAGAAACGGCAAATATTTTGTTATCATCTCCTTTCACTGATCTTATGTCATAATGCTACACAAAATTTATATCCTTACAGTATTATGCGGCGTGCCATGTCCTGTGACTAATTCGGTCATGAGACCAGTTGTCATGTATAAATCAGATGGTCCACTACTGCCATATATCCTTCCAGTTCCTATCCAAGTTCCTATATACTTTTCAACGAACGACTTCCCACCCAAACCAAAATGTCTACAGCAAGTGATGACGTTCGCGAGATTACAGCCCTGCCACAGTCTGAACCTGAACAAGGTCAGAAAAAACAACCGGATAAAGATGTTGCAGCTTCTATTACAGCCGATGGTGTCCCTACTGATCTACGACTTCTGCGAATCTATAAAAGCCTAACTGGAAGCCAACGACAACGATACGCTCTTTGCAGCAACAGAGAGAGGCTCGCGGTTTTGGAACTTCTTAGCGAAGAGAGAAAAAGACCGGTACGTTTGCTTATTTGTCATTTATTCGCTTTTAAGATTTTTGCTGAGATTATATATTATAAATCTTAGTTATGGCGTCGCCTCAGTTGATTGTAAATAGCGACATTACCCCAGTTTACCCTCGCGTCTCTTAGCTTACTCTGTGTTATTGGCGGTAATTACTGGGCCTATCACGATTTGGCTTGATCAACAGATGTTAACATAATAAATAAAAAATTTGTTCAAGCAACAAACTTTTCCAATCACTGCTAAATAATTTGTCGTTATCAAACTTGTCCGGATGGAATAGTGAGTTCTTGAAGTAAACGAACGTTCGTGTTATGTTATTATATATCCACAGAAATCCTAATAATCGGTCATAATTAACACTAAGATGTCGTCAATAAGGTGATCCAAGAATTACGTAAAGTATAATCCACTCACAATAGTAAGCGTACTATTAGTCGTGTTCGTAAAATGGCTTGTATACTTACGTAATTAACTATGGGTGTGGGTTAATCTAGGTAATATTGGGGGGTGCTTATTCACGATCCGATGCCTTTACTTATAACGATAAGGGGTGCTTATTCACGGTGCATTAATCATCAGACAATGCTTACGCCTATGTCATCTCTATCTACGACATCTCCGTCTACGTCATCATTAACTGTTTATCAGACTTTCCAACAAGGATAAGACTTGCTACGTCTAGTCGCCACCAACAAACTCGGTAACACAAATACCTGCCTTATTATTGAGTAAATGCCAGATACTGTTGAAGAATTATGAATATTACAATCCATGCATAACGATGAAGAGCAGATACCACCTTTTAGATTGACTATATTTGCGTTTGGTAGCACAAAGTGGAAAATTAGATTACAGTGAACCCGCAAGGATCAGCATTTTATTGGTTGCACGAGATTATAACAAAATTTATTGAATCGTAATAATAAAATAAATATTACCGCTGATTAAAAAACTCATCTACTGTATTGTCGTTTGTTTCATTATATTCATCGATTTTAAACTGATATAACGATCTATTGCATTAATATGCTTTAATAATTCTTTAGAATCTTCCCGCTGTTGTAGAAAAGAACGAACAATCTCAAAACTGCTTGCAGCATCGCTGAAATTTACAATCGGTAATTCAACAAACACTATTGTCAACTTCACTATCATCAGCGAAATGCAGGACAACAAAGATAACTTCTACTATTAACAAAGACGTTTATTTTCGCTATTCCTTATCGATGCGACAAAAATGGATAACATCTAATCATGTTTCGTTTAGAAGTCTCTTTCCGTAACGCATATTAATACATATTAATGTTCTCCGCCCGATCTGAACCAGGTTGATTGTCATTGGTTGATTTTTGTCAACCCCCCCCCCTCTAAATCTATCACCTAATCTTCTCAAATAGCGCCAAAACTATTACGTAAACATCGAAATAAAAATGATAAGAGGTGTAAAGTTCTGGAACCCTTTGATGGGGGGTCATTGCCGTCTTGGCTGTGTATTAGATAGGTGTTACTTGGCAGGTACAGCAGAGACCGTCAAAGTTACACACATGGTCGATCCTGTTGTACAAAATCCAGATTTGGAGCAAGAAAATTCCGGCCAGTTTGTGCGTAAATTTCCGGTCAGAATAAGCCTTAGTGTTGGCCCAGAATCCATAAAAGTCAAAGTGAGCATATTACACAGTTTTATATTTTATTTTATTTGTAAATAAAGAACATCTTTACAGTTCTAAGAACGATGTTTTTGCATGCTCTAATAGATGCTCCATCATCAATGCATCGTCTATTATCTCATCCACATCATTTGAGTCATCTTCAGCAACATTTTCACTACTTTCATCAATCATTTCGTTTTCAACCACTTCTTTTGTCATACTCATCAACATTGCATCAACGTTTTTTTTTTATCTCACCTTGCAGATAACCTAGACATATTAAACACTTAGATTGACATCGGTTCAAACAATGAATATGATAACCATGTCCACACTGCCATCGTATAAACGATCAGAGCAATCGCAATCTACGTAATCACAAAGAATTGCAGTACTCGGTTTTCTGGAAGTAACAAAGCCTCGTGGAAGGTGTCGGTCTGTTATTGTATAACCTAATGAAGGTAGTTCATACATATTAATACCATCGGAGGAGGTTTCGACAATCAAAGGATTTTGATCACGCGCTTGATATAATTTCGTAAATATATCCAACAGGTATATGGCACACTTTCGAGAAAGCATAGATAGTTGCTTTGGTGTATAAGGATATTTGACTGACTTCACAAATTGTTCCCGAAAAGCATTTTCATGTCGCTGTTGAAATATAAAACGAGCTTCCTTCTGCAATTGTTCAGCGGTTGAAAACTTGGCAGTGCGTCGTCGGATAATACTGTGAACCGTTTCTACAGGGCAATCGCTTAGAGTAGCAAGATGATTAGTAATCATATCTACCATCGGATGGTTAGTCTCCATCCAATAAAACACATCAGAGAACATTAACGGTGCACGCTTATAATTTCTTCGATCAAACCGTAGGAAAAGATCACTCCAGCAACGCATACAAGCCTCTTCATACGCTGGCCAATCACCACTTCGATG